CCCCCGAAAAAAATCATTGCATTTCCAACTTTTAATTTGATGCTATTTTCGGAAAGTTAAAGACATCACAAGCTTCTTTTAATGCAACTTGTTTTCTCCACAGATTTGGAGGCTGTGAACCAAGAGCGCAGCACCGTGGTTCAACGCAGCGTCCGTAATGTGAGTTCAGAATCACAACCCTAACATTGACACAGTGGGCAAGAGCAGTTTTTTTTTTTTTGTTGCTTTTGATGTTTTTAAATGTGTTATCTTCTTTCTGCATCTTAATTATGGTGTAATCTGGAGATAAACAGTTTTCGTTTGATCACGACTCAGTGATTTTTGTACAAAGGATCTGATGAAGCTTTTCAGATGAGACGTGTTCAAGAAGCTCAAGCAGAAAGAAATATCATGACCTGCATGTATGAGTCTTCACAGACTAACACTGACCCAGTTATCTCATTTGTCCAAGGTCACAAATTGTGTTATTAATGGTGATTACATTCATTTTTAAGAAATGCCTTTTATATCTTTAGACACAAGATCATTTGATTAACTGAAATAACAAGATTGCGTTTTTTTGCATTCAGCCTCAAAAATCCAACGAAAGCCTTTTTCTAATAGAGCTGACTAAAAATATAGTTCATGGTGTCTTCGTGTTGCACTGCTGACAATTTAGTGGTAAAATATGAATCTCAATTGTTCCAGTTTAACTTTGAACGCACTTAGAATGGCACATATTAGAGTGAGTGCCTCTTCCTGCTGCAGCAAATGGCACACGCTTCCAGACATCACTTCCCTACATTTTTTTCATCAAGAACCATAAAATTAGTCCCTGTAAAATCAGAGGAAATGTCAAAAAACATCCCATCGCTTGCTCTGGTAGAGAAAGTGAAAATAAATTCCTGTATCCACCCTGTGCTCAGGAGCCTTAATGGGTTCTTTCCTTATCCATAGCCCATCGTTCCATTAGGTTTCCTAGGTTTTTGCTTAATCTTGCTTACAAGCCAACCAACAAACAGATGGACGGAGCAGATGATAAAGAACCTTAACACTCCTCACAGAACCTTAACACTCCTTTCAGAAACACTTTAAGATTTGCTTTACTGCAGCTTTACACAACCGTTACTGATCAAGGATTTCGTGCAGACTGTAAAGTCACATTGTGGCTCAGGTGCTGCGGTGCTGTCAGTGCAGGAGGCAGATGAGATGACTGAAACCACATTTTCACACCAGCGTGACACCAACGATCACTGAGGAATCAAAGCCACGAAGATAAAGAACAACTGCTCCGGTGGGAAATGAACACGTTACATCCAACTGAGCCGTCTCACGGGGGGACTTAAGATTTATGCTCAATGAAACAAAATAAGATGCAAACTGAAAACTGAAAGATGGAGTGAATACTAGATTGTATAAAGAATAAATTATGTGAAACAAAATAATCAAAGATATTGTAACAGAACATCCTCTGTTTGCTGCTTTCCTTTAAAAGTTAAAGGGGATATTTAACAGAGGGTTTGAGTGACAATTTATTATTACTAATATTTCAACATTAAATAACTTTCAGCACAGAACAGAACAGAAAACTGAATTTGCTGATGGTTGCTCTGCACTCAGAACTGAAATTTATGACCTCAGCCATGTCTAAATTTACCAAAGTGAAAATGTGGTATAATGACAGTCAGGCTGAAATCTATTTGGTTTCTCAGAGCGAGCAGTGCTGTTGGCATGGTAATAGAAGCATGAGGAACACATGCATTTAGACTATTTGTGTAACATATTTATACATTGAACATTATTTGATCAGATTTGTTTGAACGGAGCTCTACAGATATTGATTGATTGATTGATTGATTGCCATTAAGTGTATTTAACTTGATGAATGAAGATTAACAAATTAAGAATCATCCCCGGCATTCCAGATAATACATGAGTGTATTAACAGAAAACAAGAATACAAAAGCCACAACGTGAATGTAAAATAGGAAATAAAATCGTATCATAAACCTGAATACCACATTTCAGGTTGATATGTGAAAGTACTACAGATTTACGGGGCACGACTGTACCTACCTGTCATTTTGTTTTCTCAACTGATCCAAAAGGATCTGGATAATCTTCAGATGAAGTTTCCTCCCCTGTCAATTATAAATGTCTGCACCAGATTTCTTGACAGTTCATCCAGCATTTGTCAGACTTTTTCGTTTTGGACCAGACAGGCTGACGCTTCTGTCCCGAGAGTCCCACACTGGGTCAGATTGCACTAATCAGAGGGTGAAACTGAAGGTATAGAGCCACGATGCCTCCAAAACAAACCTGACACTGTTCCAGATAAAAAATATTAAACATTGTGAATCAAACGTGAATTAAAAAGAAAAATGAATCCAATGACTAATCCCCAACATGAGCGGGTCACACCTCGCTCACCAGTATAGTGTCTTAATACCGCCACATATTGTGATTCAGAATTAATTACTGCTGTTGACTGAGAGATTTGATTCATGTATTAATACAAGAGGATTTTACATTAAGGGAAACAAAGCAGTTAAGTAACCGTGAAAAGCCTGTGTTGTTTGTAGGCATGTGTTTAAAATGTAATTGCGCAGCTGAGAGCCGAGCAGAAATGTTGCACATGCAAAGAGTTTGGATGTGGGTGGCAGAAGAAACGTCTGTACGCCCACCTGCATTCATCGTGGAATGAATAATGAACGTTCTGAACATCAAGACGAATAGATATCAAGCCACTGTTGAATGTTTGCTGACTTGAATCTGATTAGTGTCACCACCTAAAGTAAAGTTACACTGAGGATATGCTTTAACTTTCTTAAACTGAAATATTTCCTGGTGAAAGTGGATATAATAGTTGGACAGAAGAATTCTGAATTCAGGATTCACTTTTATTGAGCGTTACATAAATAAAGCCACACGTAGTGACTTCCTGTGCCTTGACGTGCTTTCAGAAATGTGTTAAGAAACATGGACGCTGTGAACAAAACAGCTTGTATTTGTGTATTTAGAGCGTTTAAACAACACTGCGACACCTCCTTCCAATATCA